AAGTAGAAAGAGGAAAAGATTTATAACTAAAAAAAAAAAGCAAATACTTTATAATTCATGAGTCAAACCGGTGAAGTGTAAAGAAGCCTAATTGTTACTGTCGTAGGACTATTCATCTTGAGTCGCGGAATAGTTATTGCTGGCTCATATTATCCGGGAACACTTGCCTCATCCTCCCGCTGAAATAAAAAGACCGTCTTGAATATTAAAGGTTTATTTTTTTCAGACAGATTAGCAAGTAATATAACCAAGCTTTTTAAAATTTTAACAACAGTATAATCAAAAACTCTTCTTTCTTTTTACTGGGTTCACACACTTCAAATTTACTCCTAAGTTTAGCGATAGTCAATGGAACTTTATTAGCGCGCTGTGGCAAAATTTATTCACTCAAAAATTTTACCACAGGAGACGGTGGCGGAGTAGGAGGCGTACTCCAAGAAACATTTGCTCTAGTTTGAGTTGTAGATTTGTTGACTAGTTTGTTGCTGTCAAGAAACTCGGACAAAAGTTCCTGAGAAAAAAGCAAATGTCAAAAGCAGCATATAAAAGCCATACTTTAATGAAAATGACAACACTGACTTAAAATGGCCTTATCACTGAGGTAAACTGAACAGTAACGTAAAAAATGCTATTACCGAGAAGTAATAATACGCCTGACCTATGTAATTCTGTCAACTAATTGCAAAAAAAGTGAAAATTAGAAGAGAACTTGGAGAAACTATAAAGCGTAAGACTGTCGCAAACCTTAACGATACAAACTTCTTCCGTAACAGAAAGCCTAGATCTATTTGGGTATAAAGATTGAGAATTAGAAGCACTTGTAGATTCGCTGAATTCCGTTTGCATTTAAAAATGCTGTAGAAAGCAGAAAAGACTATGAACACTTGTTGAACAACGCCACCTTGAAACTTCAAGAAGCAACCGCCTGATCGCTCAGAAACTGAAAACTCATCAAAACACTGCGTTTAATAAAAGTTTTCGGGTCTAATTTGCACCCCCTTTGACTTCCAAATAACTTATTTTGCGTTTTGGTTCGAGTGACGCTGCTATAAGGTATTGCTTTACTGAACGTTGTCTGATTAATGAACACATAGAACAAAAAGTATAGAGTTTTTAGAGGAGGTTTTCATTATGATCAATGACATTTTGTCGCGTTCATAAAACCATCAGAAATCTGACTGTTGGTAAACAGATTGCTCACAAAGTTTAGAGACAAAACGCGTGAGATATCTTCAGATGTGGTGCAACCGTTTCTGAAGAACGACGTCACAAAACCAACAGACAATACTTGCCTGAAGACTGCCACCCAATAATGTGCTATGTTTACTGATCTTTTTATTTCTTTTTTTCTTTTGCTAATTAAAAAAACGTACCAGTTATGAAAGCAGAAATTAGAACATAAAGTTTGCTATGGTTACGCATAGAAGTAATATATAAATCTTAAAAAGCTACTGAAGAAAATTCTTTCAAAAGAAGATTCATTGAATGATACATTACTTACTTTATAAAATAAACTGTCATTTGACAATTAAAGCCGTATACAAGTCTGCAAAATCTTTGGTCTATAAAAAAAAAAAAAAAAAAAAAAAAAAAAA